ATCGCACACATGTTTTTTAAGGCAAAGCGATGCGCGATGTATATTTTAATCGTAGTATGAAATTGTCCAATAAAAAGATCGAGAGGGTTAGTAATAAATTGTATTGCTCGCGTATTTATTCTTAGAACTTTACCTTTTTTCTTACGGTTTTTGAAATTTTGGGCACGCGCCATCTAACGGTAACTTAGGTACCGTTTAATTTTTCACTCAATAAGCATGAGGCTTCTAACCGATTTTTCAAAGAAGACTCAGCGATATGTATATGAAACTTATCTTTTAAGACTCAAATTTATATTCATCAAAAAGTGATAAGTTATTTTATCGCATAATTAAAAAAGTATTCATTTTAAAGAGAAATATCTGGTTAATCGAAAAATTTTGAAAAGTTTCAATTTACGAGACAATCATTCCGAATAATGTGACTGTTTCCAAATATTATTTAAATAGAACTCGACTGGGACCAATAAATCACTCCAAATTGTGTCATATTTCGAATTATTCAAGTTTGAATAATGTGATTTCCACTGTGTATAGCTCTAAAGCAAAACGATGCGTGGATGCGTGTCTTACTCGCAGCCAAACGGACAAAAAAACTTCATCTTCGTTATAAGCATTTATATATAAAAGACATTAGCTCCTTGCGCTGGGAACGGGTAAGAGAAATTTCATATCTACATTATAATGCACGACTTCTTCACAGGACGCGGGTCGTTGATGGAACGTCTGTCGCGGGGGTATCTCTGTGTTGTGTATACGCCGAGGCGTTGAAATATTCATTAAGATTTTCTTCTTTCCTCGTTGCTGTGCGCGCGAGAGGCCATCAGATGCAGTGTTTCCGACACCATCAGCTCGGCCGCGAGACACTCGACTGCACGCGCTCCGCTTCTTGTGTCCCACTGTTTCTCCTGCTGCTGATGCTACTACTGTCCCTGAGAACCTGACCTTTTTTTCCTCCCAAGTATTATAGCACGCGCTGTATATTATATATATATAGTGCAAATTTTCTCCCTGCTCTTCTTTTGATTGTCTCTTCTTTATATTCACTCTCGAGTCGAGACCAGACTACTATCCTGGTACTATATAGGTGCATATAAAAATTACTTTAATTTTCATTGGATTACTTTAAGCGAATTCCGAGCGAAACTCGATACGGAGCATAGTATAGCGAGAGAGAAAAAGAGGCTAATAAATTCCGAACAAATTTTCACTTGAAATAGTAAAAATTTATATTCGTTCGCCAGCGTCGCAACGAGAGATCGGAGGACTTGCTATACACCCGCGAAAAGAGCCGATACAATCCCAGAGCTCGAGGGAACCCGCGCGCATATTCCAACTTATATCTTGCATCACTTTCAACTTGGTACTTGGGATGTGGTATGTACGCGTGTAAGCGTCACGATATTTTTTTATGCATGTATATACGTGGTCTCGTGAACTTTTCCACCCGGCGCGTATCGACTTTCTTTATTCTCTATTATCCATACTTGGCTTCTTTGATCAAGAGCGCGTGGCAGTTTTTCTTTCTTTCCTTCGGTCCTTCCTTTTTTTTTCTCGAACTTTTCCGCGAACTGGTTTGCTCGCTCGTCGCAAGTTTTTCTGTTTATCGCCGAGGACGGCCAATATCTATGGTCGAACATCTAGAAAAATTAAATTTAACCTAGCGCGTTGAATTGCAAAGTCCTCCCGAAAAAAAGATCAAAATATATGCCTCGGCGTGCACGCGAACGTACGAACGTGCGAACATTTCGGCGTTGTCTGCAGCATTGTCTTGGTGTCTTGGCGGAAGCTCTCATATGGTTGGTGCGAGGTCTCGGGTATTTCTCGCCTCGAAGAAAATATCTCGAGATGTACGTGAGCGCGATATAATAAATACAGGAGGACAAAGCTTGTGATAAGTTAACTGAGTAGAGGAGCGAAGGAGAAACGAAGGAAAACTCAATGGTAGAAGTCAAGAGCTAGGAGAGAGAGAGAGAGAGAGAGAGAGAGCAGCAACGGCGGCGGCGGTGGTGCAGTGGTTGGGCCAGTGAAGCTCGAGCCGCGCGTATAGAGAGAGAAAGAGGAGGCAAACCTGAAACATGATAACAGCATTAACGTTCATAATGAATTTATTGTCGAGGAAACTTGAACGTTACAAATTCAAAAGTTTCTAGCTGGCAGCGGTACTAGTAAGAGAATATAGTAGTAGTAGTAGTAGCTGCAGCAGCAGCAGTAGTAGTGAAAGAAGAAGCTGAGCTTCGCAGCGGTGCTGTACATTGTTTCATCGTGTCGTTTCGATGAAATTTCACCCTTCCAATGTAAAATGCTTACAATCATTGGGTTATTGCGTTTCCTGCGCGCAGGTTAGTTAAATTAATTCTTTTCTTCGAATTCTCAATCTACCACCGACGGCGGCTTACAAATTTTGATATTCTTCTCGAACTAGCGTTTACCCTCCCTGCAATCGAGACGTGTGCATTATGCGACAATGGAAAAAAGAAAGAAAAAATAAGGTAAAATAATATCCAGAGATGGCTCTCGATGACATATATAAACGTTAAACATACGGTCGCACGGAGCTTGCAGATGATAAACCGTATAATGTGACCACAAGGCATCGGAGCGTTGATATTCATTTTAATCGGAATCAACTGAGCAGTAGTTGCACGCGGAGAGATAATTTCGCGCAGAAAACCTGCAGCAGCCCGCGCGCGAGCGGCCGAGAGTAAATGGTATTCCGCATGCACAAAAGAGAGCGGCTGTGCCCACCCTGTATCAGCCTCCCCCGCCAGCACATTATATATAACGTATACCGTATATACATATTTTTATATATAGAGAGTGTGACTGAAAAATGAGAAGAGAAATAATGGTCCTGGCTGCAGAATAAGTGAATTTTTATGGGAAAAAATGGTGCTGGCGGGAATGGAGTGCTGCTGCTGCTGCAAGAGAAATGTGCTGCTACTGCACGGCGCGCAGTATCGCAGCGCCAGCAGCAGCACAGCGTGGTTATGCTGTTGAGCTTTGGTCCTTTTCAGTTTCTTCTTTTTTTTCCTTTTCTTCTTATTCTTTATTTTCTGTTTTATTATTCTTCCTGCTGCCGCCACCGTCGCTGCTGCTACAGCTACTGCTGCTGCTGTGGTTATACCATCGTTGTAAGGTATTCTTCTTTCTTGTCTTTTCTTTTTAGTGATTCAAATGTGATTTATCACTTGATGCATAGTTATGACTTTGCCGATGCTATGCAAGTTTATGCCGCGAGGCTTTGTTGCACGAGGGGTTCACCCGACGCTTTTCGCGCGCACCGCGCCGCTCGTGTAGCAGCTTTGACCTCTTGTGCTCGCGCTTATAGTAGCTTATATACATGTATATCCCATTTTTTTTCTTCTTTTTATGTATTGCCGAACGCTAAATTGCATCCGATATATTCTGCCCCTGAATAATAGAAGCATATTCATCTTTGGAGCTTCGATTTTTTGATTCATTCATAATTAAATGCAGCTGCCCCCGGGACCAGTGTCCAAAATAAATACCGTATAGCTTTTTTTAAGGTTTTTATAGCTATACTCGAGACTTTCAAACAAAAGAAGAAAAAAGAGTCACGCTGGAATCAGCTAACGACTCGCTTTTTTTATCCACATTCGTCCAATGCATTCCTACTTATGAACGGTAAAAAGTTCGCAAGCTGTTGTATATATGACGAGTTTAATTTGTAATCCGAATCACGTGACGCACTAATGCCATCCTTCGCTCAAAACAACTATTTGATTTATCACTATACGAGCTTTTCTTATGTGTGCTATACCCGGCGTTCTAAGCGCAATTGCTTGTATGTCAAAGCCGCCGCAGCGGTGGCGGGCGCGCGCGCTCGCGCACACACACATATATTTATCGTTTTATTACCAACATGCGCATACAAATGACATGCTAATAAGCCGCACACGTGACCAAGATTTACAATCGTTATGTCATTCTTTATATGGGCCGGGGCCGATTGTGTGTGGTGGGTGTTTGGGCGATAAAAAAAAGAAAATAATAAAAGCAAAATAACTTGTGTAACAATGCGTTGTAAATAACGCGATTTAATCATTTTGGTATATCAGCGGCTTAGCGCGAGCGCGTGCGAGTACGCAATGGCATATACACGTATCGGGAGTATGTGATTGCGATAGTCATGCAATAGTCAGCGGTGCGGTGAGTAAATTATAAGCGATGACTTTTTTTTTTACGATAGCCGTTAAAATATATCCCTCCATCGAGTCTCGTACGAGAGCCTCGCGAGATAATAAACACGAAAATCGAACGCTACTTGCCGACTGAAAGTCGACTCGCTCGCGGTCGCGAGTGGAATAGGGTCAGCGTTCGATCAGACGAGCGCGCCGCGGTACGCCGGTTGTATGTACGTATAACACACGTTAGTCCCCATGATTTACGATATACTTGCGCCTAGGAGCTTTAATTCGGACTAATTTTCTGCGACGTATATATACGCGGTATAAATTTTTAACTTGATCGCGCGCATTGCAGAGGTCGGCTAAAAGAAGCTAACGCGAGCGATATAATGGCGCGTACTATGGCGGAGGCGTGCGCTTATATACATAAGCTCAAGTACAAATAAATCGTAAACAAGAATTAAGTCCGCTCACCCGTATGATCTGCAATATCGCCTGCTCAGCTTGCGTAGGTATGTGTGTTCGCGTTCGTACGTTGAACCAACGCCGCGTGTACGTATATTTATTCAACGTCCAGCTATTTAACTGCGCGCTGTATAATATATGCTCTCGTGCTAAAGGCAGTCATCCATTAATTTGGAATATCATTTTGCGAAACAAAACAAAAACAAAGCTTCTTATTTCGTACATTGGGTACACCTTGGTTTTCTAGATAAAAGTTATTTTTTAAGATACTCTAAATAAAATGAAGTCATTGAGAATATGTATATTACATTTTATTAATGTAAATGGTACAATCATTGATAGATAATAAGAAATTTTAATTATACAATTGTACAAAAAATGTTTCATAAAAAAAAAGTAAGTAACGTATCAAGTAATAAGTAAATGAATTAATGCTGCGAGTAAAATTGACTAGTGGAAGGGCTTTTCAGTCGTAGCCAGTATTCGAACATAGCTTTGAATTCTATATCACCTGCCCATAAACCAATATCTTTTGAAAACTCAAACTTTTCTAATACATCTGGAGCCAAACTAGCTTCCAAATGACGTAGCATTTCACTGTTTGTTTGTTCATTGTTAACTACACTCTCTTCTTCGTGGACATTTTGAATTTGATTTTGAGGTGTCTGTTGTGAAGTTTTGACTCGTTTTGCGAAAATATAATTTACTGCAAGTGGATTAAACGGAGCCAAACCAGATGCTTCAAAACCGTTTACCACACTTTCTATTTCATTGGGCATATTCTCTAATGCATAATTAACGACTCTTCCATAATGTACTTCTTTTAATTCCGACACTTTATTTACTTTTTTCCTCTGGAGCACTATATTTTTCCAACTCTCTTCGAAACTTTCGAAAAATGATATATCCAGAGGTTGGATAATATGTGTACTGCTAGGGATTAAACCAAGAATTTCAATATTTTTTTCCCGACAAAAAGACACCAGAGGAATACTGAAGTATGAGAGGTGGTTGTCAGCATAGATAATTACTGGAAATTGGACTTTTTCCTTCACCAACCACGGATAAAAAATGTCGCATATGTACTTATAAAAAGACTCAGCTGTCATCCATCCATTTTCTGACAGTCCGGTGCCCCACCTTTCAGGTAAATTTTTTACTACACTTTCTGACACTTCCTTGTTATACATTATCATCGGTGGAGCACGAATACCCATTCCGCTATACATGCATAAAATATTGAAGCGTGTTTCGTCAGCATCGCCGACGTTACCCTCAGTGCAATCTCTTTTCGTGGTTACGACATTTTCTATTTTAGGATCCACGGATACACTGGCTTCTTTACAATTAAACACTCTATCCGCACTGATGTTTACCAATTTTTTCGAGTTCAAGTACTTTTGTATTGCACAAAACCACCCCTCTACATCGTCTTTGGTTACTTTAGCCTTGTTTTTTCTGTCCGATCGCGGCGTTCTTTTAATTGATAAATCTGAATAACGCTTAAGAAATTTCTCAAACCAATGTCTTCCGGGTCGGTCATTTATAAAAGGAGTTTTCAACTTCATAATTTTGACGCATGAAGCAACTGCATCTAACAACTGGTCCCTGTTGACAGAGAAACCTGTTTGGTTTCTATACACGACCCAGTCAGCAATATTCTTTTCTGTTTCATTAGACAAAACAATATCTGTAAATAATAAATAAAATTATATTCATACATTCATACAGAATTATCATGATTTTTAACAAACTATTAATATTAGCCTATTAACTTCACGTGGGTAGGATTTATATAATCAAACCTTTATATAATAAATATACGAAAATTTTCTCGAATATTCGAAATCTATAATAATTTTCAAAAAATTTGAATTTTCCACTTTAATTTGTTTAAACAATTGAATTTTCCAACAAATAACTAATTTGTAATAAGCGGCCTAAAAGCACCAAAAACTATGTATCTTATGCATATAATAATCAAAAAAATTAATTACAAATCAAGAAATGTGTAATTCATTGAATTTTTATATTTATATAATAAATAATCGAAATTATAGATTTTACATATTGTTACGTTTTAATTTATTTTTTCTCGGTAATTCAAAGTCTACAAGAATTTTTAGAAAATTCGATATTTTTGTTATAATTTGTTTAAACAAATGGTTTAAACAATCGAATTCTGCTAAAGTAATAACAAATTTGTGATTACCGACCTAAATAACATAAGAAAATTTGTGTCGAATGCATATAGTTGATTAATGACAAAAATCGTATATCTCGAAAGTTGCAAAATTGTTGTGGTTTTTTGCCGTTATAACTCAATTGCTTAAAAAAAACTGAATCGCATATTTCGAAGGGGAAACATCAAGGACAATTATTATTTTGTTTAAAGCGGGCTTGAAATACGTTTAGGAAGCAAAAATAAGAAATAAAAAAAATCGACTCGAAAATTCGTCGTTGTTAATGTTATTTTATAAAAATAATTTTTTTCTCAACCTCGATTTAGAAAAAGGGGCGAGGTAGTAATTAAGGGCCGCCTTCAAAGCCGCTTTATTAATTTTAAATTAATTGCAGAAATTTCGTTTTAGATATTGAATATTGCTTGAAAGCCGTACAGAAATAATTGAAAAAATTACCTGGTCCAGGCTTTGTATGCAAAGCATCAGGATTGCTTTTTTTTCTGAATAGAGTTGTTACAGGAATCCCATATGCCTGAGCAACCTCCCTCAACGATAACTTATTTTGTTCATTTACGGCTTTTACAGCTTTTTCTAGAGCTGTTGAACTGTATAATTTTCTAGGTACCTTCAGGTTTTTCTTTACTGCAGCAGCCTTGCTGCCAGTTTTTTTGGTTACTTTCTTCTTCGTTGAATTGGTGGCCGTATTTTTCTTCACGACTTTTTTCTTTACATCTTTCTTTTGATTTTTTTTACTCTTTTTAGTATAACCCATTCTGTATCTATCGAAAAAAACGATAATTTCAGAGGTTAAGTAAGAAAATACATCATTTTTACACTAAAAAGCAAAGTTTACAAGTAAAACCTATATGAATTTACCGAATAAATGTTGTTACTTTTATGAAAATTAGTTTTATTAATCAAATAAACTTTGACAGTAGATGTATAAGACCGTTTATATTATAAAAACAAACTCAAACGAGCACATCGACACATCTGTTCCATAACGCGTACTGACGCTCAAATGAAGGTGTCCCTACACTTGGAATACGCTGTCAGTGTTCCTTTATGCGCACGTGCAAATTCAAGTTGTACCTATAATGGAATGCTGTAATGATTTTTTTATTTTTTTTTAGAGCAACTTTTTTAATATTCATAAATGAAATATAAAACTTTCTTATAAATTAAAAAAATATTATAAAGAGCAATTATACAGGACAAATTGAAATACGAGAACGCTAATTTTCACACTATCGTATCAATATCATTAGTATTATGCCAAGGAATATACAGGTCATCAAAATTAGATTTTCAAAAGAATTTTTAAAACTTGAAAGCTTATAAGAATATTACTAATTTATATACTCTATACCAATTAATATTATGTTTATGATTCTGCCGTTCAATAATTTTATTTATCGATTTACAAAAGAATATTCCATAATTGTGTTCATTGTTTTATAATAGGGAAGTTCACCTTACCTTAAAGAAAAAACGTTTTTTGTCGTAGAAGTCTGCATCAATTTTAAAATTTAAAATAATTTTAACTTAAAACTTATTTTTCTTCAGATAAATTGTCCAAAAAGTTTTCGATGGGCATTTCACAAACGTAAACAACCATTTAGCTAAAGTTGCATTTGTAACAGCAGATTGTCTATTAAAATTTCATATCTAAAATTCTCCACAATAGTTGAGTTAATAATCTGTTTAAAAATTGACCGCAACTCATGGAGAAGAAATATTTTATTAAAATTAGTAAAAATTTTATCGAAAATTACACTTAGGAAATTGAGTAATTCAAAACTTTTTATTTTACAGCTATTGCAATGAAATAAAAACAAAACACAAAAGAAGAAAAAATAGAATATTTTGCAATGTCGTATAATATGAGTTTTATTCTGATAAATTTTATAAAAATTAAATTGTTATGTGTTTCAGTCCATTATAAATTTTTTTTGAACATTGTAGTTTATTTCGTACATAGTTTGTTAAGTACTTGCTTTTTTCAGTTTAAAAATAATTACTTTTCGTTGTTTTTCCCATTATTTTGATACTATTGTTGCTGTAACTTCAATGCATTTTGCATTTTTCATAAATTCTACCAACTTTTATTTATTGATTAACATTTTAAAAAGTGCATACATGCTATAAGTCCTAATTCATACGCGAGAGAAAAAACATTTTTTTATTTCCTCTTTTTGTTTCTAAATCTAATTCAAGAGAGCATTTCGTAGGATATGTGGACGATAAATTTTGGGTTATTTTTTATCTTTTACTCAGACACAAACGTTACACTATATGAACTCGTAGCACGCCGACTCATGGTGAATGTGTGTGTGAGTGTGTGTATAAGCACATAAAGTGGAATTCCGCGATCGGATACGCAAGCGTTAGCTTAATCTAGAAGTAGAAATAGAGAGAGAAAGAAAAAGAGTAAAGAAAGAAAAGTCCTGTTGGAGGCTAAGAGATAGAATTAGAAAAAAAACGCGCGAAAGGCGGGAATATGTGGGTCGAGTGATAAGCGAGAATATGTGTGTGTCGGTCCAGAAGAAAGAGCGTGAGGTTGAGAAACAAAAAAAAAGAAAGAAAGAAGAAAATTTTTGTGTGTTTCGAGATCGCTGAGAGGAAAAATTGTACTCATAGAGTCGTCCCAGAAACAGGATTGCGTCGTTGATTTGTTGAACATGCGATAAAAAATATCTTAATGTAAAATCATCCTCTGCGCATCGATTCGAGGCAACTTTATTCTCTCCCAGTTCTCTTGTATATTTCTCTGTACGCCGTATACCGCCTATATAATGCACGCGTAAAACAATTCGCAGCTGTTTCTCATTTCACACTTTTCCTCGCCAATTAAAACTTTTCTCATAATCTCGTCGCCATGCTAATAAGCTCATCCCACTGCCTCTGCTGCTGTTGCTGCTGCTACTATTTCTGCTGGTATAATCGATCAAAAACTCTATATATGCGTATAGCTCGCACCTACGAGTTATTTTCATCTAATTTCCCCTGGAAGTTGGGCAAGAAAGGAAAGAAATAAAAAAACATTAATTTCTAATTAAATCTACGCTCGCTGCATTACCGATTCGGAATATGCATGTATACGAGAGAGAGAGAGGGAGGCTCGCGAGCAAAAAGTCTTTGCCTCGACTCGTCGTTTCCTCTTTTTCTTCTTTTTTCTTTTTTTTTCTTTTTTTTGTCCAGTCTGGATGACTGGAGAATCGCTAAATTATCCGAGTAGCGTAAACTTGCCTTGGAATGTTCGGCGGCAGTCGCGGGACTCGCTCGCTCGACTAATTTACATTTGGTTTTCGCCACGCGCACTTAGAGCTCGTCGCTCGGGCTACAGTATACATAAATTTAAGCTCATATATACGTTTTGCGCGTATCTTACACTCGAGATCTTCTCTTCGTGTATGTACGTTTGAAAATGATAAACTTCGTAGTAACATCGACAATCCCTCTTAAACCGTCGTTTTTCCTCCCCCTTCTAAACGCTCTTCTTGTTCCTCTTTACCGCAGCATCCTGTTCGCCACCCTCTCTCTATTTCCATCTGTATTCGTCGTCATTGCTAGTCTCACGCTTTGCCTAGTTTATTCTCTGTATCCTTTATCCTGATATTTGCTGTTTTATTTTAATAGCAAATTGTATTCAACACGTTGTGGGTATAAAATTCAAAAAAATTAACTTTCTTTCCGCATCTCTGATATTTCGATTCTTCGGAAACTAATCGTTATCCAGCTGTAGGATTTGCATATTTATAATACACCTAAGAAAAGACATTAAAAAAGTTTAAACGAGCTACGTGGCAAACTTTTGTGTGGAACGCAACAAAAAAAATAAAGTAAAATTGTAAAAACTACCGTACACTCGCCGCATGATGTGCCTCGTGTTTATAAGAACTCATTGAAAATCAGACACGCTCGGTGCGCGGCGAGCTCGAGCTTTTTCAACTTTTGAAAAATAAAACTTTGTAGCTTGCATTATCACTAATATTAGCGTGTTAAGTTTTCTTAGCAGAGGGTCAAAAAAAAAAAAAAGGATGGAAATAGATGGACGGATGAGCCATGCATATTTTCTCGTGGCTCCGAGCTGTGCAGCAGCTTCGACGCGCCCAGTCATACGATGAACTTGCTGCGTCAGTGGGTTCTCTTTAGGGCTATAACTTCGATCGTTGTGCATCCCGTTGTTGCTTTCTCATCTTTGATCTCGGCTGGTAATAACACACCGTTGCAGAGCGATAGGGCTATGCAGTTACTAGCTCAGTATGGCTTGCGTTATCTCGTCTCAAAGCATATTTTAATATTTTTGACTGACGACAACTCAATGAAAATTTTAAAAGTACCTTTCACGATTTTGTCTTTCCTTTTTTTTCTGTTTTTGCACTTATTTTGTCGAGTAACCGGGAAGTGAAATAAAAACAAGTAAGTCAATGTGGTGCAAAGTTTATCTCGATTAATCTACTAAAATCTGATTTCAAATAAAATTTTTCGCAAATGGCAAAGCACACGTATGCACGTGCGTGTACGCTACATCACAGCTACACGAACAGCGGAGGAAAAGCACGCGCCGCAGCTGATACGGTCCATCGAGATTTCGATTCCCGATCGAGGATCGGAAGTTTGGGCGATCTTTTTTACTCCCACGCGCGTACACTCTTCGTTCTCTGTCACCGCGTTGTCGTCTTTTCTGCCCTGGGGACCCAGCAGAGCATATACTTGATCGACGCGAGCGCAGCAGGTATACACGCGCGCACACATGCACAGGAAGAAATTCTTTTTCATCTGGGTTTGATTCGACTTTACGACTTTATACACAGCGCTAGGTTTTTATTGGTTTCTCAAGCGGCGTAAATACATGATTTTTTGCATTGTCTGAAGGCAACATTTTCGACGTGTACGGAATAATTCGATTATCTCTTTCTCTCGCTCGCTCACTCACTCACTGTCTCTCTCTCCTTCTTTTTTTCGTAGTACTCGTGCGCGCACGCGAGAGAGAGAACTTGAATCGAGTCGCGCGTGTGCATTTGCGTACATGTATATTTACGTTTGAAAAAACACGAAAATGGATTCTTCGGTCGGATGCACAAAGAGAAGGATATTGTGTTTGTCTACTCGCGAGATGACATTTGCTTACCTCTACATTTTTCGTTGTTGTTGTTGTTGTTGTTGTTGCCGTTGCTGTTGCCGTTTTTCCAATATATATACGGCATCAAAACTAGCTAAAAAAAAAAAGATGCGCGAGAGGCCGAGATACGTGTCATATATATTTGAAGGCGCGCACACACCGAGTGCATGCGCCTCTGCTGAGCTTCGGTATCGGGTGACGATCGATTTGTTTCCCCATCTCGAGCTCTCTCTTGCGAGCGCAATCGAGAAGCGCGCACCGGGTTTTGAAGAGATAATCTGTGTGTATACATGCAGTAGCTGCAGCGATGAGTGCAAGGCCTCGGGTGCATTTTTTTCGTTGCTCTTCCCTCTGGGCGTGCCTGGGATGTATTTCCGATACATTTTCGACATTCTGCGAAAAAGCTGTATACGGCGTCACATAAATGCCTTTCGAGGAAATAAATGAGATTGCTGGCGCGCATTTAGCCAAAGTAGCCTCTCCCTCTCTAACTACCGGTCTTTGACACCCATGTCAACCGGACGAGTCGAGGTGGTGCGTCGCATCAAGCTCGTGCAACATTCCCCACATTTTATAACTCCCGCACACCTCCAATAGTCAACATGCGCGACGCTAGTGTATGTAGGAGTGTACGAGCGGCCGTAGCGCAGCGTGCCATATTTTAATATTCCTCAGCTACGTTCGCTCGACTTCTTCTTATTCTTTTTTTTGTTGTTCTTCTTCTTCTCCTGCTTCTCCTTTTCTCGAAAGGACTTGGTTTTTTACGTTGTAGTCTTTTTTTTCTATATACCATCCCTCTTTCTTTCTCGTACCATGCGGTTGCGCATAATAAGTCGAAAAATGCGAATTTGAGCAGTCAGCATCAATAATGAAAGGA